GCGCAGGCGGCAGGGCAAGGATGCGACGGGTCTGTCTCAGCAGGGACTCTAAAGTCTTCCTTTCTGGGAAAAAAAACAAAACACCAAAAACACAGAAGAAAGAGAAACTTGCACGCACCTAAACCCTGAAAAGTACTTGGGCACTAGGAGTCTCTTTGATCGCATACGCTGAAGCTGACTTGAGTCGTTCCCACGCTTCTCCTTGATCACAGGCTGCAGGATCAGCACGTGGGGAGGTAACGTCTCCAGAGACTGACCCCATTAGCTCTGCCCAGAAGCCACAAATTCGTTTTCTCTGCTTTTAAACCAAGTGATTATAAAGAACACTGGCACGTGGTACCATAGCAGTAACTTACACTGACACGTAACTGTTTTTATAGACTTTTACAGCATTATAGATATTGCATATAACCCAGATGTTCTTCAGAGGGGAGAAGAAAACCCAGAAAAAATGGAGCAGTTGATCCATTTGACACTTAAATTCGTTGAGGAACGATGCAACCTTACTCTAACTTCTTTGTACACCATTGAATCGTTCAAGTTGAAAGGAAGCCTGGAAACGATGCAGCAACGTTTGAAAGGAAAGCAGATGCCAACTCCACATCTCAGTGAGAACACAAAGAAGGGTACGTAGAGATCTGCTGTCACTTTTCTTTGAGGACCTATCAGACCCTTTGAAGTGCCAAGTTTCTCTTGCTCTCAGTTGAATAAAAGGGGTTGCTGCTGTAATGAGTAATCTGAAAATACTAACTTTTAATCCACTGGCAATAAAATTAAATCATGGGCAAAGGGGAAACAGCCAGTGACAGTCTGCAGCTAATAAAGTTGCAAATTGTAGTTAATTACAATTAAAACTTTGACATATTTGTCAAGTGGCGTAACATTACAGTTCTTAGTAACTGAGTGATGTGTGTGAAACTTACTTTTCTTGAAAGAACTGACACTCGATCAGCTCCTACACGCTATGGAAGCTGAGGACTGCAGCAGTGCTCCGGTGTTGCTGAAGGAAGAAAGTGTGACGCAGTCTCGAGCACATCTGATAAAGGAAATTGCCAGTACTGAAACGCCAGAGGAGCTAAGTACTCCTGTCTATGAGATGATCACTTTGAAGGATGCAAACAAGAAACCACTCAAAATTGAACTCAGAGTTGAATTGCCAAAGGTTAGCTCTGTGTCCGAGTGTGACCTCAGAATTTCAGAGGTAATATAGCAGAAACATTTTCTGCCTAGTATCCAGTTCCTACAAGCGCTCACTGCTAATGCGTTGTCAAATGTTTAATCAAGTATTTTAATTTTCTTGATTCAGGATGACATCATCATTGAAGTCCCCGAAAAATACAAATTACAACTAGATCTGCCAGAACTCGTGGATGAAGAAACAACTACAGCAGTATTTAACACAGGAAAACGGGTGTTGTTTATCACAGCGCCAGTTGTCAAGTGAGATCCTTAAAGACTGCGTTCTGTCCAGTTCACGTTTGCAGATGACAGAAGAAAACAAAGCCCAGAATGAGAGTCCTAACTTTTAGATCATGATGTGTTTTGGTTTTTCTAACTGACCGTTGAATACCTCAAATGCCTTCAGAAGATGCTTTTAGAAAACAAAGTTTGGAGGAATACTAGTATCACAAAACTTAGGAAAAAAAAAGTCAGCAAAGACTGTAAATATTCAGGAGCACTTGAATATGTTAACAGCTGTAGTAAAGAACTATAAATGCATACATGCTTTACTACATCATTCATTTTGTCGTAAAGTCGAGAAATAACAGTTGTGAAGTTTTTTTGCTAAATAAATTGATTACTGGATTCACATGGTTAGAGCAGCTCTCCCATGTGTTTAATGCTGGGACAACCAGCAGAGACGTGCCAAACAGTTCTGCACGTCGCCCTGCACGCTGCTGCTGTTCCTTTTAGGGCAATGCCCGCTGATCTTAACTAGAGTAGGCTTTGTAGTCTTTCCAGTCACTGAATATGCTCAACCTGACTTCTTACCAGTCTGGTAATCTCTGAATGAAACTGCAAACCAACAGATGTGTTTTATACTATTCAAAGCAGCATAGAGAGTCAAAGCTCGGGAATGCTTAGTGTGACACCAGCAATCGGAACCAACGTCGGAGCACTTCAACTAGGAAAACTGCCTCCATTAGTTTATCCTAATACACAAACTACAAAGTAATACAAAGCAGCACAAAGCGACTTCAAGGATTACTAAGCATTACTAGAATGAATTGGGAAAGGGACAAAGAGAAGTTTAAGTGATCATAGTTTCATGACTGATTTGGCAGCATCTTGTTCTTACCGCTTCTAGGACACCCTTGCAATACAACCGCGCTTGTGTACCAATACTCATCAGGTCAGAAATGGGAATCAACAAACTGGTTTTGACCTGAAACTTTGAAATACGGGCTTACAGAAGAGCAGTAACTCCTAGCTTTGCCCCTTCTTTGTTTTAAAGAACTTAGAGGGCTGCATTAAGATACTCTTCAGTGGCTATAGTTGTGAGTTCAAGCTGAAATTCTGTCACTGCATGAGCCGAGCGGGCCTGTTGCAGGATGCAAGCTGAGTAGAGAAGTCACTATCAGCACTCCCAAGCACACACACTGAGTAGGATTTTTTTGAGTTCTTACTGCAGGAAGAAAGTGCAAGTTCTCTGTAGCCAGAATTTGAGGTTATGGTGAACGCTGCAGCAAGGAAGCCAGGACGCTTGCTGCTCACTGCTGCATGATGGCAATAAAGCACGTAGTATTTTGGAATACTTTTGATTACAGTGTAAGGTTAATAGGGTGACTTGCACTATCAGACGGAAAGGCGAAACAGCGCTGACTGTGCTGCAGCGGTATAGTAAGCCACACACGACTGAATAGAAAAGCACTGGAACGTGTTTTAGTAGTTGTTAAGTCCAAAAATTTAATAGAATGTAGGTTCACTAGAGCAAGTCTGGAACCAAGACATTTTAGATCATTAAATTAAAAAACAAATTCATAATGCACTTTTTTTTTGCTTAAGCCAGGCATGAAAACCACAGCAACTAGATGTTAAATAGTTCCCACAAAAATATTTAATTTCCACAGTATTTTCTTTCAATATCTTTAGTCAATTTTGTAGAACTTTACAGGAGACAGTACTTAATGCAATATACAGAATAACAGATCAGCTTTAACTTTTTCTTTCTTTAATTTAAACTTCTCCCACCCTGTTAAATTCTCCTGGTCACTTTGTAATTACTACACAGAGGTCCTTTTAACACTGACATGTTCATGTGGAAAGTGGAAATTAAGAATGTTCAGCACTGCACCCCTTTGTGGCAGGTATTTCCTCCCCCCCAGCTAAGCTGTTGCTGGGCAGATTCCCTGGAATCTGC